TTGTGTTCCTAACCAAAGGGGTTTTCGGTTTTAAGGTGGCCGAAAACACCCTTCATCCTCAAGAGTTTTTGTTTTTTGGAGTGGATATGAGTTTTTGGGTTTGACATGGCCCAATAAGAGGTTTTCGGTTTCAATATGATCCAAAGAAAAAGGCTTTTTGGTCATGGGTTAATTGGGCCAAAACTTATAAAACCAAGGTCCATTTTGATTTATGTATGATGCTTTTGACCAATTTCTAGTCTTCTAAATGTTTATTATGTATGCACATATATAAATTCATATAGCATTGTCATTCTTGAATTTCAATAATCTAATGCAACAAGGTTATATAGAGAAATTGTTTGTACATGAATAAAATATCAACCCTAAATTTGCTAGTTGTGACAACAAATCATGTTTTTGTAGAACTTTATAGTTTTGGTTAGTGTTATAGTTGATACATTAATTAAATAGGACTTAATACATAATTAATCTCAAATTAATGAATACAGTAACACAGATTAGTATATAATTTTTTTGTAAAACTTTACAGGTCCTTATTATAGATGATGCATTAAATGTGAGTTAATTCATAATTAAATTCAAATTAATGAATAAAGTTACATAGATTAATATATAAAGAGACATACTTCTCATTTGAACATACCTCAATGGATACTCCCTTCTCCTTCTTTCTACATACATTTTTCGTTGAAATTTTCAGGCAGGCGGTCTAATCCAACAACACACACTGCTTTAACTGCTGTAAATTGGGAATAAATGGTGAATCTGTTTAAGGAATCATCTCCAACACAAGCCTCAACATTAGGTTTATTACTATTGTTGTTTTGCAAATACGAACTCGTTATGAGAAAATACATAAAAGAACTAATTGTTAGATCATGACGCTTTATTATAAGTGGTAACTTCGATGTTATATTTAGATGACTGGGATAAAAAAAAGATTGTTTAAGTTTGAGATAAGAGTTTTTTGAAACACCACATTAAATGTTTGTTTGAGTTATTACTCAAGTAACCCAAGAGTTAATTGGATGATGATTCATATAGTGAGTTTTAGCATAACATGCATAAATTTTGTAATTCTATCCAAAGTTGATTACAAAATTTATATAACATAGTATAATGTTTAGGACCCTATAATATTAAATTGTTGGTCTAACCAAAACGAAACTGATAATGGAGTCGGGTGTTTATAAGACTTATGATTTTGGTGTTAATGATAGGTATACTTATATACTTTATTTTAACTATCCCATAAAATACTTCAATATCACCTTGAATACGTAAAGACTCAAATAAGTGACAGTGATAATTTTAGTAAGGTTCAAAAGACGAGTATAAGTATGAAAGGAACATGTAAGCATCACAACCAACCTCCTCTCAAAATTTGTCATAACAAAAGGCATGCTTAATGAGTCCTGAAATAAACAATGGATCACAAAAAAGGTAATCTAAATTTATTTATGATATATCAGTATCTTAATCTTGGTATCCCTATAAATACATGGTGGAATGATTCTAATTCCATGATAAATGTATCTTTTTCATTATAGTGTTTCCATACAATTTGAAAGTTGGATTGATATCATAGAACAATTAAAGCATTCTTTATGCCATGATAATACTCTTTATATATATATATATATATATATATATATATATATATGTGTGTGTGTGTGTGTGTGTGTGTGTGTGTGTGTGCGCGCGCTTGTGTGGGTGTGTGTGAACGACTGTTGGCTATAATTTAACATTTGATACAATGACGTATCTATTAGTTCTGGTTTTTCCATATTATTACCTATACTGTTTTAGGAAAATACCTCTATAAATTACAAATCAAGAACCACTTTTTGGAATCTTTCTTATATTATAAAGTTAATGGTAACTAAATCATATGAATTTGAGAAGTGGAGACTTCATCTTATTGTGATTATTCTTGTTCCATGTGTCCAAACTTGCTATAGAAAAGTTTAAATCCCTTAAAATGCTTAAAACCTTTCGATAAAGGGTTAAAAGTTAACTTGAACCGAAAGTAAAGGCAATGAAATCGGTGAAGGACATATCATTTTAATAATGTATGATGCTCTGAATTTATGTTTAAAGAAAGTTTAGTAGTTGTTTTAAAATATTATATATCGAATATAAGGTTATGTTTGGATGTTAGCTGAAAAACTGTTAGATGATAAAAAAAAATCATGTTTTTGTAAAACTAGCTGATAGCTAGCTATAAGATATAAAATAACATAAAAGATACATAGAAAAACATGTTTTTCTTATAACTAATTAATAGAAAAAAAAAACTCGTGAAAATCTAGTTTAAGTAACTATTTAAAAACTTTTGTTTGGCAAACATTACAAGTTAAAAAATTTCAAAAAATAAATTAACTTCTAAGCTAATTATGATGAACAAAATACATCATAAACCTTTGATAAACACGATTAAAAAGATATAGGTATCATAAATACTATGTTGAAGGATTCCATAGATACTGTTTGTTTTTTGTAAAACACATCTTCAAACTTCTTATTGTTGCGTGACACATCACACGTGCAACACATTTTATCTTGCATTTCTTTGTTTTTTTAGAAGTTTTTGTAGTAAAAAATCTCTGTGTATGTTCTGTTTAGGGCAACACTTGTATTGTTTCTTCCAACTTTATTTTTTCTTGTTGAAATCTTGATGAATATTGATTATATGTTGTTGAAATCTTGTTAAAATTTTGTTTTACATTCCTTTTTATTTTTTATTTTTTTATTCTTACTGATTTTTTTTTCGTTTTTTTATTTTGAATAATGATATTTTTTGTTGAAATATCATTATTTTTGCTAAAATATCATAAAATCTTGCTGAAATATCATACATTATTAAATTACCGGTATTAAATAACTCTTTTCGGTATATAAAATCAGTTTATTTTAAACTTTTAATATCTACAACAACATGCAGATGTTAAAAAACAAACACGCTTCTTATTACAATTTGTAGTTGTTTCGTAGTCTCTGAGGGTTGCAAATGTGATTTGCAAACTTAATAAACTTTTGTTTAAAATAATATTTAACACCTAGGGTTGCAAATGTGATTTGAAGACTTAATGAACTTTTGTTTAAAATAACATTCAACACCTAAAACAATCACAATAATCATAATGAGAAAATAAAGAAAGTTGGTAAAAGTTCAATTTTTTTTTCCATGATTACAATAGTCTATTTTATGTAAATATATATAGTATTACTTTTTATGTGTTCTTATAATTTTTTAATAATAGTCAAATAAGGTTAAAAACACAACTGTTGCAATTTGAATGGATATGAGTGATAATACGTAACAAGTGGAGCCATGATGATATGTCTTTGTCCTCCACTTAGGAAGTTATTTGTTCGTGTACATTAACAATTCGGATCATGTAAATAAGAATTTATACTTTCCAGAATTCTATGTGTTCGTCTTTTTTCTTTGCACAGTGTTCCAATTGTTAGTGAAAGAAGAATTAATGGATACTTAAAGACCCAAACTAAACAATAAAATTAGTGCTTTAAATGGGACATGTTAGCAATAAACGTTATAATAATAATAATAATAATAATAATAATAATAATAATAATAACTAGAAAGGTTACCCCGCTACGCGGGAGCCAGAAGCTTTCAATATTGTTTCCGAATCGATAAAAATGACAGACGTAAAAAACGCAAGGATGAAAAGCTCAGACTTTGCTACAGACTGTTTTTTTCATGTTTTTATGAAAAAAATGTAAAAGTTTTGACTGCAAGGATTAGAAGTGTCAAAATGGCTAAAGAAATAAAGATATAGAAATTAGCAACTTTTTCGAAAAGAGATTAAAGTTGTCAAACCGTTAAAGTTTTGTGATCAAACTTTAAATATTAAAATGTTCCTAAAAAGTGTAAAATTATTGATTGCAATGACAAAGTATCAAAATGGCCAAATAATAAGAAACAAAAGTTGCCAAAAAAAATGACAAGTTTACTATTCCTAAAATTTATTTCTTTAATAATAATAATAATAATAGTTTATAAAATATGAATTAACTTTAAAATATAGAAAACTGCTATATAAAATCAATTTCATTCGCGCCTTATGGAAATTTCAATAAAAAAGAACATCAATTTTTAAATAAAATAAACCAATAACAAAAAGACTATTATATTAATGTTGGATCTATTATAACCTTCTCATTTATTCAAAACCACTTATATTATACTGATGATGATAGGCATCCACAACCAAAAATTAAATATTAAAGTTTCGTTATAAACAAAAAAGATATAAACTTAAGAGTAGAATAATGGCTGAGTTTATAGTTGTTCTAAAAAATAATAATAGTAAATAATTAATATAAAAACTTTATACTAAGTTTCCTAATATTTAAAAGTCCCTTATTATTCAAATCTTATTGAAAAAAATTTCTTTTAAATGTTTATGATGTAAAAAATCACAACTTATTATATATATTATATTAAGAAAAACATAATACTATATTAGAGACATCATATTAAAAACTCCTTGCATTAAATATTTTAACAATTATAAAATTTTGAAAAAAAATGCAAAAATTATCCATTTGACTTGCTGTTTAATTTAATAGAGTCAAAAAACTTGTTCTTTACAAAATATGTAATTACCTACAATATTTTATATCAATGTAAAGTGTTTGAATTTATCAATGGGCAAAGAGCATCATATATTGAAAAGAAAGAAAGAAAAGAAGAAAAAATAAAAGTTAATACGTCCGTGATGGCGAAAGTATCTGGACCCACGACCCCTCTCACGTCCACATCATAAAAAAATAAATTCAAAATTCAAAAAATAGAAATAAAAAAAAAATAATATTTTATTAAATTAAAATAAATCGAACTTTCTCTCTCTCTATATAAACCCTCGCGCCTTCCATTCCACTTCCCATCACCTTACCCACCGCTGTCCCCCACTCTGATTTTTCTCTAAAATCCCCAAAATACCCCTGTAACGTCTCTCTTTTACAAAATGGAATCCTCGAGTAACAAAAAGCGACTCCGTTCCGACTCGGACGAGTCCGAGTTCAACTCACCGGAGGCAAAGAGAATCCGAGATGACCTTCTCGACACTCTAGACGACTCCGACGTGTGCACCGTCGGTGACGACCTCGACTCGTTTATAAAAAGCTTCGAAGACGAAATATCTCCTCCGCCGGAGACACTCGACCAGGCCTCCGAGTCCGGCGACTCTCGCCCGGATCTCGAGTTTCTCCTCGAGGCATCCGACGACGAACTCGGACTCCCTCCGACGGAGACGACACCGACTGAGTCGGAAAGGATAGAGGTATCGACTGAGTCGGTTGAACTCGGGGAGTTTTCTTGGGTAGATGATGAAATCCCGAACTATGAATCGTTCGAGTATGGATTTGATTACGCCGCCGGTGATGTTAATGTTAACAACAACCAGAATGGTGAATACGTGGCTTTAGAGGGTTTGTTTGATTATACAGATCTAGGATTTGGATCGGCCGATATGTCAAGGCTGCCGGAATCGTTGCCGGCGCAGTGACATAGGTTGATTTTATGGTTAATACGTTAGAAAATATTTTGTAAAGTTCTTTGGTTCTTTTTATATTAGAAAAAATAGACATGGAAAAAATGTATACATAGATTTACTGTTTAGTGTTTAACGATCGAAGAAACCACGTCATACTCATATTGTTCGGCTATAAATTGGTCTAGTCCATATGGATATGGCGTATAAGCCTCTCAAAACCATACTAAAACCTAAGTTATCATGTCATTTTTATCATAAAAATATGATATTATATTATATATATATATTTTTTTTATCAATTTAATTTAAATAAAAATTTTAATTTTAATAAAAAAAAACGTAACATTTTATTACCTCAAAATTAAAAAACATTACATTTCATTATTTTTTTTTAAATATAACATGTCATTGAAAAAGAATATTACTTAAAGAAAAAAAAAACTCTAAAAATATTAATCATACAAACTTAAAAATTTAGTTTTTATTAAAAGTAGTTAAAAAAACTTTGACTAAAAGCAGTTAGAAATCTTAAAACCTACTTAGCATAATGTTTTTTTTTACATCGACTTTTATAGTGAAAGCAATTTCGAACTACTCTCCACTGCGCATTGTGTCTAGAAGATGGTGAAACTTGATCGAGTTTATGTCTTTGAGGTTGAGACCAACATGAATATCAGATGTAGTCAAATTAGGATGTTTTTGAGCATTTTATTCGGTTGTTTTTGAGCATTTTGAACCACTGTCGTTATGTTCTTGGATGTATTGCTCCTTTCCTATTTTTTATTATATTTCACAAAATTTTGAAGGTCAAGATACTTGAAAGCCTGCTTGTTTTCTTTTTGAGACACTTTTAGCGTTTTCTGTAAAATCACTTTATTGTTTTCTGGGTTTTTCTATTGACGTTATACAAATCATTAAACAATATGACTTAGACCCTATATTATGAGAATTATCAATGACAATGAACAACAATGATTGTGTAACACCATAAACCAGGTATGGCTTAAAACCCTTGAAGAATTTCCATTTTGTCATATTGGCCCTCTAAGTACGTTGGTCGTACTTATGTGTATGCTTAGCGTACTATGTATGGATGATCGCGGAGGAGCTGGACGTATGCTGGGCGTACCAAGAAGTACGTTAGGCGTACATGCTGAGAGTCCAAACCCTAATTTGTGGACTTGTAACCTATTTAAACGCCCTTAACTCATTTGAGCCTCACCCTCATCAGCTCCTTTCACCTTCAAACGTTCCTGGAAGCCCTAATATCCTTTGTGAGTGCATTTTGAGCTTTGAGAGTGCATTGTGCTCCTTTTTAGTGTTCATCTAAGAAGAAGAAGAAGTGGCCAAGGAAGCTTGGATTGTCTTTTGGCTTCAAGAATCCGCACATAGACGACCTTGAGGAGTTCCTGGAGGTAAAAAGCTTGGATCTTTCCACTTAAATTTCTGGATCTAGCTAGAGTTTTCTAGTTTTGTCCATTTTGTTGATTTTGGACCTCCACTTGTGAGTTAAGCAACTGCAAAAGATGGAAATGTCAGATCGGGGTCCCTTGGTCCTGTAGCAACATAAAAAATGGAGTATTGGTGGGAGTTTTGACCTCATGCATGGGTTAAGAACCTTTAAAAGGTATTAATGGTGGTGTTGGGTTCATATGAGGCATGCAAAGGCATTAAGTTGCAAACTTTATGCCTTAGGATGTCTTAACAAGCTTAGATCTGACTTTTTGATGTAAAGGAATCGAGTATAATGCCCTTAATGGAGAAAGTGCTTAATCTGGTAATACGCTGGGCTGTACGCTGCACGTAAGTCCCAACCCCAGTACGCCTACGCGTACCAAGATGGTACGCTGAGCGTACGCAGCTCAGATGGACAAGATCTATTTTGGGCTTTTGAATTATTGGGCCCCATTTGGTTATTGGGCTTGGTTGCATTCTGGGATTTATAAGCCATTTTATCTGTTATGGGCCATGGATATATTGATTCGGCTAAATAGGCCCATTAATGATTTTTGACATGGACTTTGGGCCCATTAGCAAGGAATAGAGGGTTTGGGGTTTGGGGTTTCCCGTCGATTAAGTAAAGTGCTAACATTGATTAATATTATTATTGAGTACGGGAGGTTACAGATTGTTAGGAGAGCAGCTTTGCATTCGGCAGACAAAGGTGAGTCTTTTCACCATAGCCATAGGTCTATGGCACCAAGGCTGGCCCATTATGTGTTTATGGTATATGTGGTAGTCATTCTGTGATTTGGTATGTTATGTGATTGTGTGTCATTGCATGGAAGACCTCGGGGGAGCTCGTGGCATTGGATATAAGACCATGTAGGGTAGCCCATGATATCGGATGTAAGACCATGTGGGGTAGCCTATGCCATTCCTAGGTAAAGACCATGTGAGGTTGCCCATGGCATTGGATGTAAGACCATGTGGGGTAGCCCATGACATTCTTACAGGTTTTATGCATGCATGGTTTATGTGATATATGTAGCTTTAATAACTAGCAGGGTATGTGTATGTGGATTGTGTGTGGTATGCTTTGGGGAACTCACTAAACATTTCGCTTACAGGTTGTTGATTTGTTTCAGGTACATCTGAGCCCAAGGGCAAGGGCAAGGCGTGATGGCGCGACGTGTACTCTATCTCTCTTTCACTGATGTGGTTTGGGGACCCTCTGATGTTTTTAAAACAAAAATGTAATGAATGTGGATTCGAAAACAATTGTGTTGGGATTTCATGATTTATGCAAATGTGTTTGATTAATTAAAAATAAAAATTTTCTTTGAAAATTTGGGTCGTTACAGATTGAAAAGGAGTCGAATGTATTAATCATAACAATAGAACAGTTCTCGGAGGCAGAACTATTTTGTAATTACTTCAAAATTCATAACCCTAGAAGTTACATGAACACCATATATAGACAAAATAATACAACATTTCCGAACTTGGACACGCCCTATTTCGGAATCGGAATTAAACATAAATCTGAAAACATACATTTGACACAACACTAAATTAGACTTAACAATCTCTCCATTTGTGTCAAATTGGAAAGAGGTATTCATCATTGTCTATGCGCGTCAAAAATCTTCTGCATGATCTTCAGAAGGGATGTCCGAAAAGATAAATACCAATAAATCATATCCGAAACGCACTTTACATCGACAACATAATTGGCTTTGTTGGCTTCATTTGAAGATAAGATTGTTTTTAGAGCAGTTGTGGAATACAAGTGTTTATCCCTTAAGAAGAAATGCGGTTCTGAATCACTTTTTCCTTTTATATACAATGCTCCAATGCTTCTTTCGAATGATCCATACCTTCAAATGTTGGATGTCTTCTAGTTGTTCGTATGGCTTCAGAATTGGCCTCTTTTTCAGAACAGAAGCAATCTCGACATCCATTTTCGCAATTTGCAGGATGTAACACTTGGTCATTCACTTCAAGTGTTTAAAAATTAGCTCATATCTCTTGACATCTTTCGTCACAATGTAAAACAGAGATAATCAATCATAAGGGTTCTTGAATGGCATATCAGCCAAGGTGAACTCGTGAAGAATGTGCATTGGCACCTCAGAATCCTTTGAACTGAATATTGAAGAAGTATTCTGTCTGAATCCGGTAAGTTCAACCTTCAATGCCATAATTCTTTTTTAAACTCCATGTCTCATATTGCGGTTTCACATATTTCAAGTAAAGCAACAAGAGCTTTCGGTTTACAACATTACCAGAAATCACAGATTTCTCAATCTTTTCAAAGCATCTTAAAATAAATGCCCTTGAAGTGATAGGAAAATCAAACTGACAAATCCATATCATTATTTATGTTGAAGGAGATTGTTGGCTCTACCCGGTAGAGATTTGGATCATCGATGGCTTCTTTGTGTATACACTCAAGAGACCAGACAGGAAACAAGGATTTCTAAGTTTCAAGAATTAATTTCGAGTTCTTGGCTTCAGCTTCTTCTGCATCAAATTTCTTCCAGAGAGCATTGAGTTCATCAAGCTCTTTATCTATTTTCTCTCTAGCAATCCTTTCCAATTCGGAAATCATTGGATTTTCATTATTCTCTTCTTCAAAAACACATTTCCCTTTTTCTTTTCCTGATCTAGAAGCTTCATTATCCTTCCGATCAGACACCTTTTGTTAAGTTTTGTTCTTCGTCCCCCCTTGTTTCACAGAAGCCCCGCTTCCCGAAACACCCTGTAGTTGATTCGGCATTGCAAATTCAGGTTGGAGTTTTTCGGAGAGATTTTTTCGGACAAAGACAATGAATAAAGAATCACGAGTTTCAATGATTCGTAACAATCATTGATTGGTTTCAGAAGTGCACCCTTTAACCAAAGATTTCTCTTTTTCAAGTTTGGTAATATTAAGGGATGCAATCTTCAGCTTCTCATTCATAACCTTGGTTTTCTGCGTTTGTACAGCCACGACATCCATAATCTTATTTTTAGTAGCCAAGTCATTTTGTAACTTGGTGAGTTGTTGAGTGATGGTTGTATTGAGATCAACATTGTCAAGCTTAATATCTGCAAGGAGAGTTGAAAGAGCTTCTTTTTCTGCTTTGAAAGAAGATCTAAAACCTTCTATGACCTTGTTCATGTCCGCAATACTCTTTTCAGAAGAGGTCCTGAAGTCAGCCATGAATTCATTGACTTCTTTTCGTAACTGCTCGACCTGTGTAGCTTCTAATATTTTCTTTTCTGAAGCTTGGGCTGCTTTTGTTTATTCTTCAATGACTTTGGCATTGGAAGATGTGAGCATTTCCATAGTTGTTTGATGGGCTGTGAGCAAATTTTCCCATTTTGTAGAAGAGAAGGCTTGTGAATACTCCAAAATAGAATCAAGCTTTTCATTCAACTGCTTGAACTGATCCTTAGTCATCAGAGCATCATCATCATCACTATTAAAATTAATAGAGAATGACTTGAAGAAAAAATCAATAATCAATTCTTGATCATCTCCAAATAATATCTCATTATAATCATCAACTGGAGCAACCAAAGAGGAAGTTGTTCTGAAGTCACACCAATGTTGGCATTTGTCCCCACATCAGATGTGTTGTCAGGGATGCCTGAAGTCCGAATCTCCTCCGATACGGATTTGATAGTCGAGACTTCTGGTGGAGTAGAAATAGAGGATGTCGTAGAAACTGTTGAGTCTGTGAAGATGGGTGAGTAAGTAGGATTGAGACTTAAGGAAGTGATGTTTTAACAAAACTCGTTGGTGGTAGAGGAGGGATGGATGTTATCGGTATTCTTGAGGTGATTGGTGAGGTTGTCATTTGTGATGTTGATGGAGTGAATAGAGGTGGAGATGGAGATGTGGTGAGATTCAGACTTGCATTCTACATAATATTGTCAAAAATCTCTAGTTCTGGAATGGAAGAGATTGGAGGAGAAGATACATTCGGAATATTTTAAGTATTGGCGGGTTCGGAAGTTGCAATTGTATCTTCCTCTTCATTTCTGAGAGTGTTGTCCTCCTGAATTTTAGTGACAGTTCTCTCTTCAGATGATTGTTAGATTATCGGAGATGGAGATCTTGGTTTTTGAACTGGTTTCTTTGCCCTCTTTGGAATTTTGATGCTTTCTGAAGTAACAACCTTTGCTTTCCTTTTCCCTTACCTCTTAGATTTATCACCTTCATCTATTATCTTTTGTAATTCTGCTGGGATGGGATGAACACCAGAAGAGGGCATTTTCTGATAAGCCCTAATGATGATGTTTTGTAGCGGAACTTTTTCCAAGAATCCATCCAGGATTGAGCCAACAAAGTCAAAGTTTCATGGATCCGACATGAAGAATGTAGTCGTTTGGAGCGTTGAAATTTCAGCCATGAGAGAGTCATGAATCAGGGGAACCTTGAAGTAAGGTAGGGCTTTATACAAAATGATAGACCAAAAACGGGCACAAGAAATCTTCGTGTGCCGTGTAGATGAAGTTGCGCTTTGGACAAAGTGAGCCCAAATGATAGACCTAAAGTCCAAGTTGATTCCATGGTATAGACCATATATCAAAGTATAGAACAACTTACTAGCACTACCAGATTCTGAAACCCTTTCTAAAAGGCTTTTGAATAAAAGAGTAAACAACCCATCATTTTATAAAGGATCACGTTGAGGATGGAAATGTTGAAGTTCGTTTCGTTAGATCCTCAGATCAGTTGGACGACATCTTCACAAAAGCCCTTCCTGAACCTACGTTCAATCGGATTTTACAAGGGATAAGAATGATGGAAGCAGATTCAGTTCCAAAATCTTCTTCATAATCGGAATTTACTATTCACGTTCTGAATTGTTTCGAGCTTCAGAACATTTTAAAATTCATTTTCAAATTCCGATTGGTTTCGACCTTCGGTATGGTTCAGAATCTACTGAACGATGGGACAGGTATAATTTCGAATCTTTGTACTAGCTAAGTGTCCCTAGAACCATGCTGCTGCATGTCGTCCCAAGCCTCTAAGACTCTATGTTTGAAGCCTTAATGAAACTTTTATTCTGATCGTTTCTTCCCAATCAGGCTAAGAATTTACATAAGTCATCGAGCTACCTTACTCTTCTCACATTGAGTTAAGAGTAGACTACTTTGTCATTCATTTATAGCAAATGTACACTTTCTTCTTCGGAACCAATCTACATTTTCTCCATCAATTTCGTGTTCATTAAACGTAACCCTTGAGACTCTAAAAAATTATCACTGACGTTTATGGTTACACAACATTTGTGTTTATGATGTTGAAGTCGTTATCACCACGATTTTGAGTGAGACCCGAAATCCGAAAACCATTTGCGAATTGACGGTGAACAATTGAATGCTCTAGATATTTTCACCAAGGAATTGTTGAATAAAACCTTTTTGGTTTGTACCATTATAACTTGAAATCTCATTTTTCGTTTGAGTGATCTTTTTGGTTTGTACCATTATAACTTGAAATCTCATTTTTCTTTTCAGTGATCTTAGTGAAATGTTTCCGACCCACGACATTTCTTCCCAACTAGATCCAGATTTTTTTTGAGATTTCTATCATATCTAGTCACTTAAATAAAATCAAAGTTTACGTGTTTTTATGGCTACATCGGTCAAAAAAGTACTTCTTTCAGATCTTCAGACTTATGTTATGTTTCGGAATTTGAATGAAGACATAACCACCCGTTAAAGCATGTTAAAAGAATCCTTTCACAGTTTCATAACAGACTAGTGATCGTAACTCAACGTGATACCACACAAGCAGTTTAGAGTCTCTCTTGAATAAGAAGGAAGAGCTCGTTGCCTGGGATCCATATGATTTTCATATCATTTTTATTTTGACATCACAAAATCTCTAAAATTAATTTGCTTTATTTCTTTATCTTTGGCACACTCTTGCACAAAAATCCTAGTGACTTTTCAAAGTTTGGTTCTAAATTTAGAATGGTAACTTTTATTCTGAGAACAAGTCATGATCTTAAAGTTGGTGAATTGGTTGCTGATTCCAAAATCGTCAAATCCGAAACGACGATTTATTGGAGATAAGATTTCAAATCAGGCGTGATTTTTTGAAATCCTTGACATCATGCGTGCTAGTTGCAACGACGCATGACACCATTGATGAGATGTCACAATATTCTTGACTAATTTTACGGGATAATGGAATGTTAAACGACGCTTTTCTCTCACCACTTATTACTTGCAAATTAAAGTGGGTATGCAAATGGTTTTCTCTCACCGCAAACATTATTCTCGAATCCCTTAAAGCAAAACCCCCCAATTCTCTATAATATTCATCGTCTTCTTCACCAAAAGAATGGAAGGTTCATCTGAGCATATCTCTTTTGTTGATCAATTATCCTCTGTACTCATACTCAACGTGAAGAATAGGCAAAACATGATCATTGATATTGAATTCTCACACTACGACAAAGTTCTCAGGCCCATAATCGAGTGCCTCAAATTCTCACCACTATCTCAAGCTCTAATAATGGCAGAATCCATTACTCTAGTTCATCTTTCAAAGGCTTACTCCTTAGCCATCTACACCAAGGCATATGAAATAATCCACTTTGAGGTTTCATTTCATAAAACCTCCATCACCAAGGCTTGCTTCTGTATACTTTTAGGGTTTACTTCATCTGAATCTCTTGTGGATCCAGAATCAATTTCCAACATCGCTCTCATCGGGATATTCTATCAGATGGGATTTATTGGTAACATAGATTTATTATCAAAGTTCAGGAAGTCATTTCTTCCTCCTATGTGGAATGAGCTATTCATTATTTTGTTCAAGAGCTTTTCTAAAAGGGCCGAAGGATCAGACAATTCGAGTAAGATGTTTTATACTCTGATTTATGGCTTCTACCATGGAATCAATCTGGATTTTAGTGCTGTTCTATGTTCTAATTTTGTTCAAAGCATATTCTCTAGTACTTACCACTTGGAGATATCATGTGCTCGGTTTTGGTCTATCGTGGTCAACCATGCACTTGGCCATTTTAAGGTTCCAATGATGTCTGACTTCGTAATGGAAGTGATTCCGACTCTACAGACCTCCTAATTTATGATGTCAGGTCCTTGGAATTTAACCTTTGTTGGGACTATTCTGGAGGTAATGTTGGTGATAGTTCCCTATAACAATGCCATCGTGAATGAATATAGGAAGCAACCATCTTTTGGTGTTCGCCCCATGACAGATGAGTTACGAAAGTTGATTGAAGAGGGTTCAAAACCGAAGAGGGGAGGCAAATGGAAGGCAAAAGCTAGTCCTTCGAAGAATGTTAAAGCTCCAAAGAAGTCACGGAAGCCCACCAAGAAACTGAGATCTCCTTCTCAGGTTGTTCAGGAGGATTCAGAATCGAGGAATCTAACTGAAGTCCGAGATGAGGGTATTTTTCACAATGAGGAAGACGATACTCCAGTGACTTCGGAACCCACTCCCACTAAAACAATTTCAAAGGTATCATCTCCAATCTCTACATCTATTCGTGTTTGATATCTTTCAAACCTTCACTCCTCCATCTTCACCTATCATAACTACCATTCCAATCTCATCTATTCCTCCATTACCACCCAGGAGTTCTATTGGAATTTCACTTCGTTAGATCTCCGTTCCATTAATCTCCATAATCTTTACTGATTCCACCCCTCCAATCATTTGATCTATAACCATGTCACTAGAAGTTCCGATTGTCAAGTCCACTTTGGAGGTGACTAGGGCTTCAGAGATTAATGCCAACGTATCTGATACGGGGGAAAATGTTCAAACTGGTGTGACTTCGGAACCAGATACATCCATTGTTCCCCCTTCTTACAAATTTGATGATATTTTGTATGGAGATACTCAAGAAACCTTTCTGAATTTTGTCTTTAGTCCTTTCAACGTTAATGTTAATAGTGATGATGATGACGCCTTGATGACGAAAGGGCAATTCAAGCAACTTAATGAGAAATTGCATTCTCTCTCAGAGTCTTCCAAATCTTCATCGTCATCCAACTGGGAGTATACGTTGACAACCCACAAGGCCACTGTGGAGATGTGAACAAGAGAAAATGCTAAAGTCCCTGAAGATTCTTCCAAGACAGTTAATGCTTATGAACAGACTATTTCCGAAACGACTGCAAAAGTCGAAAAACTATCTCAAGAGGTGAAAGATTCTATGGTTGAGTTTAGAGAATTATCTGACTCCAATATCGAAGCCGTGAATAAAGCTATTGCAGGGTTACGCAATTCATTACAAGTTGAGAAGGAGGATCTCTCCATTGTTCATTCAACAATAAAAGTCGACTATGCTGACCTCAATGCCTCCATCCTTACCAAGATAGAAAAGCTGTAGGAGGAGTTGGCCACATAAAACAAGATCATGGATCAGTTGGCAGAAAAGATTTAGAAGGCCAAGGTCCTTTATGTAAAGCTGCAATATACCAACAAGCGTGTTGATGATTTGGAATCCAAGAAAACAATTGTCAAAAGTTGTGTTTCTGAAATCAATTAGTATCTGTAACGCCTTGTGGAGACTTGTGACTCATTAATCACAGTCTTTTTTCAATAATAACTTTCAGATAAAATACAACCAGTCTTGCTATGCTAAATCATATAGAAGGTGTTTCAAGAAGTGGCACTCTTCCAAAACAAGCGGGAAAAAGAAAGAAGAACCCCAGGCAAAGCAAACGACTGAGGAACATGAATAAGAACAAAAATCGAAGAATGATGATCAGAAGGGTAATGAAGCTTCCGCATCAAACAAAGGGAAAGAGAAGCTTATTGATGATGAGGAAGAAGAAGAAGGACTTTCTAAATCTGAGAAACTTATGAGAAAAAAGCGAGACAAAGAACTTGATGATCTTCTAAATCTTCGTAAGAAGTTAGAAGCACAAGAAGCTGAGGAGAAAATTGAACAAATTATGCTTGAAACTCAGAAGTCACTTTTCCCTCCATGGTCGATTTGTAGAATTCAGAAAGAAGCCAATTGTAATGCTTGGTTCCTGGTATGTATTTAACTTATAATTATTCATTTTTATATAGCAACTTGATGAGTTGGAGCCCCCAAACTCGTTGAGTAGAGATGTTTTGGATGGCGCATATTGGTGACCAACTTGACGAGTTAGGAGGACTTATCTCGACGAGTTGGTTGGGTAAAATGAAACCCTAATTCCAAGGTTTTGCACCCTATTTAAACACCTTAACCCCAAGGTGTTGGCCTCATTTCCAACCTCCACTATCCTAACCCTAAATCTCAAAACCCTAATGTTGATGAATAAAAGTGAAGTCATTTTGGGTTTCCCTCATAACTAGGAAGTGGTTTGGTTTGTTTAAAAGAGATAGAGAGAGATAAAATGTTTTGCTAATATATTATGCGATTAATATATTAATTAGAAATTGTTAATTTATTATATGAATAATAAATTAATGAGATACATGTGATAATTGATTAAGTATTGATTAGAATTAATCTAGAATTAATTCGTGATTAATTAGAATGAAGTAAAGATGTTAAGGGTGAATTGTAATTGTTCAATAGTTAAATAAAAGAGGCATTTCTTGAATAGTCCATGGCATGAACGGTTTTGGAACCTTTCTTAGGTTTCCATAACCCTCCTGATAGTATATAAGGAAAGGATTTGGATTGAGATTAAATATATTATTTAATCCTTCAAATCTTGCTTTGTCCCTAAGTTACCTAGACTATAAATAGGACCCTTGGGAACCTAACTTTCATGGATTTCTTATACCTAAAATGGGAGAACGAAATTCTCCTCCTCTCTCCCTTCTTTAATTTAATCCTAGGGTTTCTTGTGTTCTGGGAGTAAACAATTAGAGGCTCACACACAATTCGAGGTAGGGTTTCCAAGGAGACAAGAAGACTTTGATTAGGTTGATTGGCATCAACAAAGGTATGCATATCTAATTATAGATTTATTTCTACTAAGGTTTATTAGCTTTTTTGTTCAATAGTATGTTGCTACCTTAGTGTTATAATGTAGATCTATTAGGTTGCATGTAACCTTAAGAGTATAAGGATTTTTCTGCTTTATTACATTTCAAACCCATCACATGGATCTCATGAACTGGATGTGCGTGCCGATGTTGGATCGGCCAACAATAGTGCTCGTTGATAATATTTTGGTGTACTCAAAGACCATGGAACAACATGAGGACCATATGCGGGAGGTTCTGGAGACCTTGAGGAGGAAGGGGATTTATGCCAAGTTCTCTAAATATGAGTTCTGGTTGCATGAAGTGCAATTTTTGGGGCACATCTTCAACTAGAAAGGTATATTGGTCGATCCGGCCAAGATCGAGGCAATGATGTAGTGGGAGGTTCCGAGGACAGAATTTGAGGTTCAGAGTTTCCTTTGGTTAGTAGGGTCTTATAGGAGATTCATTTAAGATTTATCCAGGATTGTTGTTCCATTGACCTTCCTGATGAAGAAGAATGTTGCTTTCCGGTGGGGGCTTATCAGTAGGCAGTTTTCGAGATGTTGATGCGTAGATTGTGTGGTTCCGACTTTGACCCTCCCCGAGGCTATGGATGACTTTGTGGTTTATTTTGATACATCTTCTTTAGGATTGTGAGTGGTTCTTTTGTCGAGGGTTCATGTAATTGCTTATGCTTCGAGTCAGTTGAAGGCTCACGAGGCGAATTACCTTATGTGCGATTTTGAAATTGGGGGTATGGTTCTTTTACCTCAAGTTTTGGAGACATTATTTTTATTGGCTCAGGTGTACTATTTATACCGATCACAAGAGTCTGAGGTATCTAATAGATCAACCAAAATTGACAATGAGATGTGGTGAAAGATTATCACTACGAGATTTTATGCCATCCTGGGAAGGCTAACGTTGTTGATGATGCCTTTCAATGCACATTCCCATGTGGAAGTGGGAAAAGATCACCATGAATTCTATCACGAAGTTTCCGAGGACAGATCATGGGGTTGATTATATAAGGTTCATTGTTGACAGATTGACCAAGAGTGCTCATTTCATCCACATCGCAAAGAATATTTCCGCTGAGAAATTAGCTGATGTTTAGATCAAGGAGGTAGTCGTTTGGCATGGGGAGTCAATTTCAGTGCTTTTGGATTGTGATTTTCGTTTCACCTCCAGGTTCTAGAGGAAGTTTCATGAGGACTTGTGTATTCAACTACTTTTGAGCAACGCATACCACCCACAAACTAATATACAGAGTGAACAGACTATTCGAACGCTTGATGATATACTCAGATCATGCTTGTTGGATTTTGGTGGGAGTTAGGACACTTATCTTTCTTTGGCCAGATTCTTATACAAAAAAAATTATCATGCAAGTATTAAATGACCTCCCTTCGGGATGTTTTACGAGTGAAAATGTCGGACCCCGGTTTGTTGGTGTGACGTTAGGCATCGAGTGATAGGGAGTGGTGAGGTAGTACTAAATACTAATGAGTTGATACATTAGGTATGTGATTGGTTGCAGACCGTGCAGAGTCACTAGTTGAGTTATGCTGACTGGAGATGTTCGGACCCTGAGTTTCAGGTTGGAGATTTGGTGCTACTGAAAGTGTCACCTTGGAAATGTGTTTTTCGGTTCTAGAAGCGGGAAAGTTGGACCTTAGGTATATTGGTCTTTTTAGGATTATCTCCTAGGTTGGAAAGGTTGTATATTGGTTGGATCTTCCTGATGATCTTAGACAGATCCACAACACTTTCCACATCTCTGAACTGGAAAAATGTTTGGCTGATGATTCCATAGTGGTGTCCTTGGATGATATTCAGGTTGATGAGTGCCTAAATTATGTAGAGAAACTAATTGAGATTCTCGACAGAAAAAAGAAGTCCATGCACAACAAGGTGGTGGGTTTGGTAAAGCTGTAATGGAAGCACCGCAAGTGTTTCGAGTAGACTTGGGAACCCGGGGAGACGTTGACAGAGCACAAGCCTCTTGGAAGAATTATGGATGATCCTATATTTTTTGAGAGGAAACGATTCTGAGGAGAAATAAATTTTACTTTGGAATTATTTTTGTAACATCCCAAAAATACGAGCCAAAAATTTCATTTTTAAATACACATACTTAGCAAAAAATTGGAAATAAAACATTCACCGATCATATCATTTCATAAAAGATGTGCGTGCCTGGAACCAGTTTATAAAAAAACAAAACAAAGTTAGAGTACAAATCCCCAGGAAGATCTCATAGTGCGGAATACAAAGCATGTGTGTGATGTGCTGCTACCATGCCAGCGCCTTCCCCTTCGAAGAAGAGGTACGTGAAACAGAAACTGAAAACTGTAAGCATGAAGCTTAGTGAGTTCCCCCATCATACCGCATACCATACAATCACATATCATATATATTGCCGGGCAATTCTGGGGTACCCGACTTACCCAGTACGGCCATTCTGGGGTGCCGAACTACCCGTGTCAAGCCGTTTTGGGGGGTTGACTACCCATGTCAAGCCATTCTGGGGTGCTGATTACCCTTCGGTCCTAACGACTGGACCTTGGGGACTATTTCACCCCCTACTGCTACTATCACATATATCATAACATAACATATTATCAGACATATCTAGGGTGCCTGAACTACCCTTCGGTCATATCATCCGAACTCGGGGACTGGTCCCCTCCTACTACCTTTATCGCATATAACATAACAAGCCAACATGCAAACATATCATCACATATTGTCAGACGTATCTAGGGTGTCTGATTACCCTTCGGTCCTAACAACCGAACTTTACTATTATCAAATACAACATATCATGCTAGCATATAACATATTAGGTAGCAGCAAACCTAGATGATATCACAAAGACAATCATCTATCATACGTCTCCAACTGGTGGGCCGGCATTGCGGCCTTAGACCCACCGCTACTGGAAGGTAACTCACCTCGAAAGTAGCTGCTGAAGTCTGCTTGCTGAGCGTCTGACTGCTGGATCGCAAATCCTTCGACTATAAACCATAAAACTAGGTTAGACACCCATAAATACCCTTAGGTCAAAAGACTGACCCTCCCTTGGCCCAAGGTCAACTCCTTGGTCAAAGTCAATGTCCATTTGACTGGACTCGCCGAGTCACGGCATGGACTCGCTGAGTCCTTTTCCTACTAACCCGGTCCTACTCAACCAGTCCTTCTTCCCACTCATTGAATCACCCTTAACTCATGACTTGGGACGATTGAACCAACTCGTGACCCGACTCTCCGAGTTTGAAGAACAACTCGCCGAGTTCCAGGCAATCTTCATAGGACTCGCCGAGTTGTTCATCCAACTCGCCGAGTCTAAGGCCATCTTCATGGAACTCGCCGAGTTCCTCCTTGGGACTCGCCGAGTCCCTATGACCCATTCCCCATACAGACCAATTATGAAACATGCAACGCTTCCAAACCATAGATCCATGTTCCTTGAGCATGCTTATCACGTAAAGTTGCAAACTTTACGTGCATGCATGGCCCTATAAGCTCAAAAGGCAAAAACCAAACTCTTCAAGAGGTCATAGACTCAATGGGGACCTCAATCACTTCAACCACAGGAACTTTATGCTACTAATTCATCCAATAAGTCGAGATCTGAAATCCTTTTGGATCATTAAGCACCACACATGGAGTTTGGTGTTTTAGGGCTTGAAAACCACCAATTTGGGACAAAAATGGTAACTAATGATTTAAAGATCAAGGTAGAGACTTTTCTACCTGAATGGAAGCTTCTCCCTGAGTAGAGTTCGGATCTATTCCTTTCCTTGCAGTCTTCAACCACCTATTTCTTCTTTTAAGCTCCAACCTCCTTCACAAGGCCAAAAACACTCTTAAGAACAATATGGGGGATAAGGTCTCGCTCTACTGCTCTCTGGAAGTGTTAGGGACAAAGGAGGCCAAGATAGAGTGTTTAAATAGGGTGCAAACACCCGAATTAGGGTTTTTTCCCAACCAGGGCCTACTCGCCGAGTCCGGGGACCGACTCGCCGAGTCCAAAGTCCAACTCCCGTACCTTGTCGCACTCCTACTCGGCGAGTTG